CCAACCAGTGAGAAGAATAAAGTGCTTTATTCTGCCCCTGTAAACCTTGTCTGCAGATGGGACCATCAAGGACTAGATCTTTCTGGAAAAGTTCTGTGCCATCCCATCCCTCTAAAGTTCAAGATAGAGTCCAGAACTTTTCCCACAGGAGTGGCTGGATGAAGCCAGAGGTTGCCTGGACATTCAGCCCAATTGTTTGGGTCCCAAGACAGACCCCCAAATGAAAAATGAGGCAGAAGAAAGATGCCCTGTCCCCATCTGTCACCTCGAAGATGCCTCTGAGAGATAGGACACTGAACTTCAGTTCTGATTTTTGACAGGCTAGGGAGGAATTTTCATTCTGTAGCCAGCGTGGTGAGTCAACAGGCTAATCCTCCACCTGCAAGTGCCAGCATCCCACAGGGGCAGCTAGTTCATGCCCCAGCTGCTTCACTTCTGATCCAATTCTGCCTGTGAGCTGGGAAAGCAGCAGAGGGTGGCCTAACTCCTCTCCAACTGTGGGAGATCTAGGAGAAGCTCCTGGCTTCAAAAAGGCTCAGCTCTGGCCATTGGGGTCATTTGGGGAGTGAACCAGCAGATTGTAGACTTTTCTTTCTTTGTCTTTCCCTCTCTCTGTAGATCTGCCTTTCCAATAAATAAATTAAGACATTTTAAAAAAAGAAACTTCCACCCAAATAAAGGTCGTTTCTGATGCAAGTAGAGTTTTTAAGACTTCACCATGAGTTGGCATGACTGGTTGGAGAATGGAAGCATGGCTGCTGTGTGCATAACAAGCTGGGAGCCGAGATCCATGTGCCTGGAGGTAATCTCCTCTAAGTCACCAGAGGCAAATGAATAAGGTTTCTTCCCCTTGAATAAGGAGTCGCACCAGCCCCTACATGGTCATTGAAGGCTATTCTCTGATCTTGGTGGCCAGCCCTGGCATGCTGCCTGCACAGCTGGGCAGTAAGAAGGGGAAGCTTGTAGATGCGGACATGGCTCAGCCTGAGGACCCCAGGGGGCACGTGTCCCTTGCAGCACTCCTACCCTTTCATAGCCTGGACTCAGCATCACACAAAAGCTCTCTTTGTACAAACAATTACATACGAGGATTTCTAGTTGTTTCCCATCTGTTTGTGCTAACTCTGGAGCTTCAGCATGAACTCACCTGGCATCTAATATTCAGATGCCTTCAAGTAAGCTTTGCAGGCGCCTCACTGAAGTCTTTCCTTCTCGAGTGTCTGTCTTTCATCTGTCATCCATTGTCTTTATCAATGGAGGCCATCTCCTAAGCTCCCTTGGACTGATGATTCATCTTCTACTTGAGTTAGAAGCAAGGGACATTTTGTGTAGGTCACAAAGGTCTGTTACACATGGAAGGCTGGAGTTGTAACTGTGTTTTCCAGAGCTTTAAAAAAGATAAATCATTGAGGAGGAGGAGGAATGGTACTGTGTTTATTTAATCCCAGTTGACCTGCTTCTGTTTTCAGCAGTGAAGTGCACTTGTCATTCATTTCAAGGCAGCAGAGTATGATAGCTGAGTGGGTTGGCTCCAGAGTCAGGCAGAACTAAGCACCATTCCTATTGCTTGCAAGCTGTGTCATTATGACTAGCAATTTAGCCAGTCTTGAGCTACGAAATGAGTCTAATAGTTTTGCAGGAAATCAAATGAGACAATACATATGAAGTAGTTAGTACAAGGCGTGGCATGCATAAAGTCCTCAACAAAGGGTGGCTATTGTCAGTCATTAAATCAGAAGAAACCTGTGTTGTGTATTTGCTGAGTTTATGGAACACTGTAGGGACAAAGGTGCTTCAAGACATTGGTCCTGCCAATACAGGTTTCACAGCCAGAGTTGGTGGAGGCAGGGAAAGTGGAAAGTACTTGAAGATGAAAAAATGTTGGGAGAGAGAAGTCTGGGAACAGGAGGGTCTTTGAGCTTGGCACTGTGGGACATGAAGAGTGTGGACTTGTAGAGTTGGGTGAGGATGAAGTAGTGGATTCTGTGCAGAAAGAAGACAAATCCAAAAGGAGGTTTTAGGGCAGGTGCAGTGGCAGCGGGTCAACATCCAGCAAAGTTCGGCCTGAACATAAGGTGTGAAATGGGCAGGAGGTGGGGAGCCCGACTTCGCTGACCCAATCCAAAATGAAGAAAGGTGAGAGTGCTGGCACATGCTGGCTGGAATAACATGGTAAAGGGCCTGGAGGTGATGTGATGTGATGCGCCATTGAAGACTCTTTGGAAATGGAAAGCCATAAAGATGCTTTCACTTGCTGTGTACTTAGTGAAACACTACCTTTCCTTTGTCCTAAATGTTATTTTTATTTATGATCTCATGTTTATTGTTTAAATTTTGATTTATTTATTCGGAAGGAAGATTGAGAGACACACATACACAGAATCGGCTGTGTTCACTCCCCGGATACTTGCAATAGTTAGGTCCAGACTGCATCAAGCTAAAGCCAGGAGCCAGAGCCAGGAGCCCCAACTGGGGTCTCCTACATGTTTTTCTAGGTGCTTCAGCAGGAAACTGGATTGAAAGTGACACAGTTATGGGCCTGGTGTGACAGCCTAGTGGCTAAAGTTCTCTCGCTTTGCACGCGCTGGGATCTCATATGAGTTATAGTCGGTGTCTCGGCTGCTTCACTTCCCTTCCAGCTCCTTGAGTGTGGCCTGAGAAAGCAGTTGAGGATAGGCCAAAGCCTATGTACAAGACCCGGAAGAAGCTCCTGGCTCCTAGCTTTGGATTGGCTCAGCTCTGGCTTTTGTGGCCACTTGAGGAGTGAACCAGTGGATGGATGATCTTTCTCTCTCTCTCTCCTTTTCTCTGTAAAATCTCACTTTCTGATAAAAAATAAATAAATACTAAGAAAAAAAAAAGTGACCCTGTCAGTACTAGAACCAGCACTCAACCTGTGGGAGTCAAAAGCAGCAACTTGGCCTGCTGGGCCACAGTGCCATCGCCATTGCTCACACTTCTGGAACACCGTTAGCTTGATGAGGTTTAGTCACAGTGTGCTGGCTGGGAGGGCGACTGTCCTTAGGGCCAGAGGATCTAAGGGAATAAAGGTCTCATGGGGTTTTCAGACCACACGCACTCCCTGCCTCCCTGTTGTACAAAGGCTGACGGCACTCTAGCCTCTACCAGGCTTGATCCGGAATGTGGAAGGGCACCCCCAAATTTGCCCTCTGAACCCTAGTATCTGCCTGACTTTTAGCTTTTGACAAGGGTATCTTCTTATTTTTGCTTTCATTCTGGTTTATGAATGACACTCACGGGATAGTGGCTGCGGTAGTGAGGCCTGACTGCATCCAATATCCCTCCAGCCCCCGCGCCATAGTCTCCTCTGCTTCAGCTCCTTTGAAGCAGAACAAGTGTCCCTGCCCTTGGGTGCACATGAGTACAGCCCTGCTGGTGAACATGGTGACACAGTTACTGGGAAAGGGATTAGGCAGGGACAGACTGTATCTCATTTGGAGCATTGCAGTGTTAAAAAAAAAAAAAAGTACATCATACTGGTTTTCCGCTAAATTGGTTCTAACTCAGAGAGTGGGCACAGGTGCGTAAAGATGATTGCTTTTGTTCCAGTGTTAACTTTTCCTTTGTGCTAAGTGAATCTGGAGGGTGGAACGATGTGTTGCTTCTTTCCAGTTGAGCTGGGATCTCTGTCATCACAGCGGACAAAGGACAGGCAGTCAACAGGGAGAGGGCAGTGGAGCTCTGCCCCCTGAAACGAGGGTGGGGGTGGGCGTGGGAGGAGGCTGCAAAGCCCCTCGCCTCCAGCTCCCAGCCCCACTGTTCAGGAGAACTGGACATCACACTACTTAATATTCTTTTTAAAAATGAAATGTTGAAGCTTCACAAAATGCTTGTCATTTTCCTCACCCTAGCTCAAATCCTGAAATCACTAGTATTTAAATGAGGTGAGGAGAGAGAGATGCTAGAGTCCCAAGTCCAGATGCTTACCCTCGATACTGGGAGAGATTGGCAGACACGAAGCGGTCACAGAAGCTGAGAAGAAATGAAGCAGCAAGGTGAGCTGGGGAGTCGGGGGCAGCACGTGTGTCTGTATGGGACCTGTCAGGAAGGCTGCGTTTCCTAGCCCGCTCATCTACCGGGGTGCTAGAAATCACGCCCTCTGTGCTGGGAGTTCCAGCCTCCCAGGGCAGGAAGCAGGTGCTGGGCAGCTCAGACCCGTATAGCAGCAGGCGTCTCTCACGGCGCCCACCTGCCTGGCAGGAGCTGTCCGCGGTGCGGAATCCTCCCTGCAGGGTGCCGGGGCACCCTGCCAGCCTCGCCGCTGGGCTGAGTCTGAGCGAATCCAGACAGTTTCAATTCCTGCACGAACCCCTGATTGACTGTCAGTCACACCAGCGACTCCACATAAGATCCCGAGCACACGGCCCCCCAATCCTGTCTCCCCTGGCGCACCTCAAACTCCACCACCCCTCTGTCCCTTCCCTCGGAGACTGCACCGGGCAGTCCTGCGAGCCCCGCGCTTCCCGCCTCGCGTCTGTCTTTGCTTCTCCATGGGGCGCCAAAAGATCCCTCCCCACCGCCACTCCGACCTAGGCTTGTCGCCCCGCCGCCTTTCTCCTGCTCCCACCTCTCCACCAGTAGCCCCCAAGCTCGCGCGCTCCGCCCCTTTTTCCATGCAGGGCTTGAAGTTGGGGGGCGGGGCGGGATAGGGAGGGAGGGGCTCCGCGCCCCTCTCAAAAGCTGGGGAGCGCTGCAACGCGCAGTTCTCAAGGACGAGCCACCAGCTCCTGAGCCGGGGGCAGCTGGGGGACTGCCGGAACCCTTGCCGCCCCGCCTGGCGCGCCGACTAGCAGGTAGGGTCGCGCTCCTGTCTGGCCTGCGGACACCGGACACCGCGAGGCATTTGGGGGTACTCCGAGCCTGTCAAACTGGACATACGGTTTGGTTACGGAGGCGGGGTCATTCCTCTGATGGCTTTGGTCTTTGTTCGGACAAAAGGGGGTACCTGGCCAATGGGGGCTGGTGGGTTCTATTGATGTAAGAGGGGAAGATGGAGAACAGGGAGTGACCGCCTTTGTCTTTAGACAGGTGGCCATGGCCTCCCTGACTACGCGGGGCCCCGCAGTCCCTGCCTTACTCCCTGGGGCACGGTCCGCGGCCACAACTCTGGCCAACAGGAGTGCAGAGGCGTCGTCGGCTGGCAATGCGTCGGAGGCGGCAGGCGTGGTTGCCCAGGCCATCACGCCCTTCCAGAGCCTGCAGCTGGTACATCAGCTGAAGGGGCTGATCGTGCTGCTCTACAGCGTCGTGGTGGTCGTGGGTCTGGTGGGCAACTGCCTGTTGGTGCTGGTGATCGCACGCGTGCGCCGCCTGCACAACGTAACCAATTTCCTCATCGGCAATCTGGCCCTGTCCGACGTGCTCATGTGCACCGCCTGCGTGCCGCTCACGCTGGCCTATGCCTTCGAGCCCCGCGGCTGGGTGTTCGGCGGCGGCCTGTGCCACCTGGTTTTCTTCCTGCAGCCCGTCACGGTCTACGTATCCGTGTTCACGCTCACCACCATCGCCGTGGACCGCTACGTCGTGCTGGTGCATCCGCTGCGCCGCCGCATCTCGCTGCGCCTGAGCGCATACGCGGTGCTGGCCATCTGGGCACTGTCCGCGGTGCTGGCGCTCCCCGCCGCCGTGCACACCTACCACGTGGAGCTCGAGCCGCACGACGTGCGCCTCTGCGAGGAGTTCTGGGGCGCGCAGGAGCGCCAGCGCCAACTCTACGCCTGGGGACTGCTTCTCGTCACCTACCTGCTCCCCCTGCTAGTCATCCTCCTGTCCTACGTGCGGGTGTCGGTGAAGCTTCGCAACCGCGTGGTGCCAGGCTGCGTGACCCAGAGCCAGGCCGACTGGGACCGCGCGCGCCGCCGCCGCACCTTCTGCCTGCTGGTGATGGTCGTGGTGGTGTTCGCCGTGTGCTGGTTGCCGCTGCACGTCTTCAACCTGCTGCGGGACCTGGACCCGCGCGCCATCGACCCCTACGCCTTCGGGCTGGTGCAGCTGCTCTGCCACTGGCTGGCCATGAGCTCGGCCTGCTACAACCCCTTCATCTACGCCTGGCTGCATGACAGCTTCCGCGAGGAGCTGCGGAAGCTGCTGCTCGCCTGGCCCCGCAGGATCGCGCCGCACGGCCAGAGCACCACGGTCAGCGTGGTCATCTGATGGCATGTGCCGCGCCAGGTCCGGCTGCTGGCCTGGGAGGGTGCCACCCCAGGTCAGACTGCGGAGTGCCCTCCCCGCGCCAGAGCCAAGTTGAGGCAGGCGTAATGTTCAGCCCTTCATCCAACTGCTTGCCTTGTCTTTGTCAAATATCAAGTGCGAGTCTGTGTGATTTGCTTGAAGTAGGTCAGGGAAGGTGAGGTGGGGGTGGGGAGCGCTCCTGACTTCCTCTTGGTGCCCTGGAAAGCCCAACGAAACGCCTCCTCTGCGATACAGGAACAATGTGCGTGGGATTTAGAATCACCCTGTTAAGCTTTTCCTTTTGCCTTGTGAAAAGCACCCTGCTGAGATATAATCCTGACATCCCTGAGTCCACTCGGATGCTTGAATTTCTAGAATTTCAGGTGGATATGTACTGCAGGTGCACATCTTGGGTTTCAGCCTTTCCTCTGTGATCCCTGTGAGCCCACAGGAAAGGGGTTCGTTTCAAGACCAACTGAGTCTATAGGAGGGAAAAACATTGGCCAGCCCCTGTTCAAGAGGTCTTAATTGTGTGATCTCTCCTCTGTCCTCCGTGATTTCCATTTTCAGATGAGAAGATGAATTATTCAATGAAGAGATAAAACGGTAAAGATCAGAGTCACTTAAGGACACACAGAGCTGTACATAGGCTGTGCAAAGCTGTGTGTACACGCATGTGGTTATGTGTGTGTGCGCATGCCACACGGCAGGCACTGGAATCAGAGTTTTCTGAATCCTCAGTGTAAGCCGGCATTCTCTTGCTTTCTGTAATTGCTCACTTACAGCAGAACAGCAGCTGTTATCTGATTGCTCAGCACCTGCCTGTGTTGATACTTGGAACAAGATCAGCCCAGAATACACGGGCTGCGAGCAGTTGACTTAAGGACAACATAGGAAAACAACTGCCATCCAACAGAAGCACAGATCAGACTCTTGCTAGTTCCAGGGTTGGGGAACAGGTGGAGATGGTTGGGCATGAGCCCAGGCTGACAACCATCCCCTTCGCGTCTGAGAGCTCTGTCAGCAAGGACAAGTGCCCTGGCACAAGGGGCTCCTCGATTAATGCTGAAGCATCCACCAGGAGGTGAGAGTCGGCGTGGTGGGGAATGACGCACAAGGTCAAGCTGTCAAATCAGTGCCTGGGGGTACCTGTGGCCCAGATGGACATTTGCAGCAACTCAGCCAGGTCCCAGTACTTCTGCACTGGACAGGAGCATCAGTGATTTCTCCCTTCATGCTTCTCTTGCTTTCAGAAATATGCGCCTTCACTCACTCATTAAAGTGTGTCCTAAAAGGAAACCAAAGAGGGAGGCCACTGGGGGTGACAAGGATGGAATCTTACTACACTGAAGTCCATCATGATGGTAGAGGGAGTGTCCCTGATTGGGCCATGGGCAGTGGGAGTGTTTAGGTTTTACAAAATTGATTAAGTTGAAAGGTAGAGTCACACACACACTCTCTCTCTCTCTCTCTCTCTCTCTCTCTCTCTCTCTCTCTCTCTCTCTCACTCTCTTTCAGAACCTTTATCTGCCACTTCACTCCCAAATGTATGAAACATCTGTGCTGGGCCTGGCCCAAGTTAAGAGCTGAAAACTACATCTGGTCTCCCAAGTGGCAAGAGCTCAAGCACATGGACCATCACCTGTTGCCCACTAGGGTTGCATGAGCAGGAAGCTGGATCGGAAGCAGAAGTGGGGACTCTGTCCCAGGCACTTTGATATGGATGTGGGTGTTCTAGGCAGTGGCCTGACCTGCTGTGCAGCAATGCCTGCCCCAGCAGTGGGAGTCTTCAGTAGTTACAAGGCTGGATGCTTTGCAGAATGGGGAAGAGTGGTAAAGGCAGGCTCAGGAGAAAGAAAAACCAGGTTAGGATGGGTGGGGTAAGTTACCTCTGGTAGGGCACCAGACTGACTTGAACCTCGTCTCGGGCCTGGAGGACAAAGAATTGGCTGTTGTAATGCAGCCCATGTCACAGCAGCGTGTCCCTGTCCCTGTGAGCTCTACTTCCTGTGCATCCCAGAGGTGGCTCCCGTGTCTTCTGCGGCTCTGTTACTTGAGAGGGGAGAGGGGAAGGTTAAAGGTCAGCCTTCTCACATGGCCCCAGGGATTTCTCCTGATGGATATACTTGGAGGGTGGAATAAGATGAGGAAGCCAGAGATCAGCTGGGGACCATCTGATTAACTGTGACCTTTTACTTGGAAGATTTAAATCACTGGCTCTCACACTGGCTGCCCCCAGAATCAGCCGGGGGACCCTGCAGGAAATGAGGAGGCCCTGGCTCCAGAAAGTCTCAGCTATTTGAAATGGGACCTGGGCATCAGCATTCTTTAAATCACTTTGGGTGATTTAAAAAAATAGATTTATTTTTATTGGAAAGGTTTACAGAGAGAAGAGATGAAGATCCTTTGTTGGTTCACTCCCCACGTTGCCACAATGGCTGGAGCTGAGCTGATCCGGAGCCAAGAGCCAGAAGCTTTCTCTGAGTCTCCTACATGGATGCAGGGTCCCGAGGTTTTGGGCCATCCTCGACTACTTTTCCAGGACAGAAGCAGGGATGGGAAGCGGAGCAGTGGGACACAAACTGGTTCCTGTGTGGGATCCAGGGGCATGCAAGGCGAGGACTTTGGCCCTAGGCTACTGTGCTGGTTACCCGGGTGATTCTTAATGTGCAGCTAAAGTTCATGTCTAAGGAATCATTCTCTCCTTTGACACTCAGATAAATCTGAATGCAGCTTGAGTTGTCCCTGTCTAAAGAGTTAAGTTAGGACCTGAACTTGACAGTTACATGGCATGCTTGGAGAACAACCTTTGAGTCTTCGGTTAATGTCAGGTCAGTGGCAGAGAGGCAAATTCTTGTAATTGAATATACAGGTATTCATCCACAGTTTTGTTACACTCATGTATTAGGCACTGAATCCAAATGGTTTAGAAGAAAAGTCGTTTGATTATAGATTAATGGCAATATAGAGTTTATACTATAAATTATTCCAGATACTGATTGTCAGGGTGTTAAAATGTTTAAATGTTGATTAGCTTGATTTGAGGCTGTGTTAACTGTCAGAACAGTTACTAGCTTTCCTAGTCACTAGAAAAGCTGCCTCTGGTTTTTGTCATGCTTACGGCCTCAGAAAGTTATAAACATTCTTATGGACCTTACAGACTCACCTAAGATGTTGGAGAAGACTGCAGTGTTTATAAGCATTTTCATAAATCATGGGATTGGCAACCGCACAGCAACTAATTAATTCTTCTCCCTCTAGAGATCTACTTAGGACTAGTTGGCGAAATGAATTAACAGAAATAAACATCTCCAAGAGGTGAGTCGCAGAGATACCCATGTAGGGTTGTAGGTAGGAAATTGTAGTTAATAGCTCATTTGTGTTAATGTTGGGCACCTGAGGCATGCTCCCAGGCCTCCTCCTGCAAGGACTGAGCCGGGCAGGCAAACCGGGAACGGTGCCAGCCTGGCACTTGGCAGCAGCCCTGTCCCAGCCTTCTGGGAGGCTCTTTGTAATCCTCTTTGTAAGTGTTGTCACCAGATCTCACTTTTGGCAGCCAATCAATAGATTTATCTCACTAAGTCGGCAGAGAAGTGTTTGGACTCTTGTTGGCAACAGTTACCTGAAAGTTGCAGCTGACAGAGACTGCTAGGATAACAACATCCCAGCCCAGGTGAGCTCTCTGGTTTCCTGTTCGGTGGCGTTTTCAGGCTGCTCTTGCCCAAGGTAGCTCCATCGCAGGCTGCTTTCCTCAGGGAAGCTGGCCCAGCTGTGGTCTGCCTTCCTGAAAGGAACTGTCCCTGGGGGAAACGTGGGGGAACCGGGCAAGAGTGAGGCTGCACCCGGCGGTGAGCGCAGGGCCCATCTTCCCAGAGGAGAGCACAGGAGGCAGGTCCTGGTTGGTGTCTGTCCCTGCAGCCATGCTCTGCCACATGTGTGCGTGCGCATGCTGAGATGTGCGTTGCTGGGTCTACACATGCTGTGCCTGACACATTGTGAATGACTGGGATTACTAACCCAAGCCAGCTAGACACGTGGGCTACTACCTGACCTCAGGATGGTCAGGGGCAAAACAAGGAAAAATTGTGCCAAGGAAAATACACAGCTCCATCAGATGCGCCAATTCTAAATGCCAGGGCTGAGCTGTTTGGCCTGAGTTTTATGATTCCCTGACTCAGTAGTGTCAGCATGCCATGCAGAACTTCAAGTTCTTTGTTCCCCAAGACTACAGGAGCCCAAATCTGCAGATCTGTCAGGTAGAGAGAGAGAGAGAGAGAGAGAAAGAGAGAGAGAGAGAGAGGTTGCCATGCCTCATTTCTATACCATCATGGATATGCATAATTATTTCAATGTCCGTATTGTTACTACATTTAGTTTGGAAAATCCTACCATCACCCAAGCACATAGTCTATAAAGAAAACCCAGAAGACAGGATGATAAATTAGGTTTTCTGGTACATCTAAAGTATCACTTAAGATTGATTGGTGTGCACTTTTTCCTGCAGAGTGAGATCGACTGCTTTTCAGATTGGGGGTTTATTTGGAATCTTGCTTTTTGCAGAGACCAGCCACTCACAGCTCGTCTCTGGAAGCAGAAAGCCTTGTTGGAAAAGCTGAGTGGGGTTGTTTGGGAGTCACTTGCTTCTGCTCTCCAACTCTGTCCCTCCCACTCACCACCATTTCTCTAGCTCACCTTCTTTTCAGAACATTTTCCATTGAAATTTGAAACACCCTCTTCAGTCTCAGGAAAGGTGAGTGGGTGGGATTTGAACACCTCCCTGCTGGGCATGAGCAGATGGCAAGTAAGGGGGAGGGACTCAGGCCAGTTCCCACAGCAGACCCAGGCACTGCCAGATGCCAGGCGGGCTGCAGGTGCATCTCTGCCCACTGGGGAGTCTCAGAGCTCCTATAATTAGAGATTTCCCAGACCAGCTTTGGGCCGAGGTGGGTGGCAAGTGTTTGCACAGAACCTCCAGAGGACCTAG